CACACAGGGATGAGTCCTCTCTGAAAAAAGTGACCTTACAATATTGCTCATGCTTTGAGGACAATTGGATTTCTCACTACTGCATACACACAATGGATGACATCATGCTAGCACCTGCGCACCATAATACTGTAAATAGAAACAACCAGAAGGATCATGCCGAGAGAGAAGAGAGGGTGCAGGGTGGGTGATGGATGTAAGAAAATGATGAGACGATGCGCTTCGGAGTTCGTCTTATATCTTCATGCACATGTATACTTTTATCTGAGTTCAAAAGATCACATTCCCCAAAGCGCCGTCACAAAACGGCCATGCGGTTATATGATGAGAGAGGTAACAGGAAAAATACTGTCGATGAAGATCAACTGTGGGTATAGAAAGCATGTTGACATTAAAAATAGATAGTGCTTCTCATTACCAATATATTTATGAGACTATTTGTTGGTGTCGGATCTATAAATGCAAATGTCTTAATTAAAACTATGCCTGTGGCAGATTATTGACCAGATGGGTCAAATAATTTGAAATGAGGCGAAACAAACCAAAGTACTGATATTGGAAATAAATATACTGCCATGCTATAATTAACATTTACGTGAAATTTATTTAGTGTATAAAACAACATGTAAATGATTAGGTTTTGTCATTTCAAAGGAGAAACTTAAGATATTATTGTTTTGGTCCTATTTTAAACCTTGAACGTTATTTGTTGAAAATACTGTTGTATTTATATAAAAATTGTATTTTGAAAATACTTTTGCATTCCAAAAGCAGCTGCTATTGCTTTGACGATTATATATTTGACTAGGCCATGTAAACACCCGGACAGCACATACACTTAAAAGTCATAAACATGCACAAAATCAAACACTTTTTGGCATCTCAGGTGGAACTGTGGAACTTCATCTACAATGGAATGATGTGCTGTGAAAAAGGGGTTTGTAAAAAGCCTGATCGTCTTGACCAAACTGGACTTTAATATAAGGGACCTCTTAATATTATTTATTTACACATTGTCAGATTCTCCCCTTTCCAAGAAAGAATTCTCTCAGAATATTTGTTTCACTTTAACATGTCCCTGGACGGCACTGAATCATCAATCATGAATGTATTCATTCATTCATTTGATAAACTAAATTGTATGCTATCATTCAGTAGGACAGCTAAGATTTGACATGCCAAATTGCCAATAATAAATTAAGGCTAACTCTCCTCTTGAATCCAAATAAATGTACAATAATTTTCAATTACATTATTAAAAAAACATATTCTGAAAATGGCTACTCAGTTTTTTAAATAAACAGCTGAATTTCATTAAGCGATGACAGCTTTGCGCTAAATATAGCACAAGATGGTTAGCTTAGCACATATCCCCGAAGGCCTTCTCTGCTGGACTAAACACAAGCAGAATCAATAACCTACAAGCTAAATTACAATATTTGTTCTCTTGTGAATTTATTCCCAATAGTTTATTCTCTTCATTTGCTAGCATGTTTATTGGCTGCAAACCACTATTTTAGATGGATGTTAGATTTTTTTTTTTTTTTTTTGGTCCAATCTCTCATCTGCAATCTAATCTGGCCAGGACCTTCAGAATCAGTGCCGCTGACTGAAGCAATTTAAACTATATCAGCAATGGGACTGTTTTCTTAATCTATTGGCTTGCTAATTTTTTTTCAGACGGCCAGCTAGGTCATATCAGCATTTTTCTATCCTCCAAATGGTTGGTTTAGACCAAGCCAAGTTTGAATGGTAAAACATTTCTACAGAGATCTGCACACATTAATATGTTTAATAATCAGCATATATGATGCATTTTTTAAAACATTTGGTAATTTTTTGGGCATGGTCTGTGTTGTTTTGAGTTTTGTTTTGTCATGGTTTTTCTTGTGTGCCTTTTTTCATGTTCGCTTGTTAGCTTTTTGTTGCTACCTGTTTTCATCAGCCTGGTTCCTTGTGTCTACCAATCAGATACCTCAGTCACTTGCTATTTGTCCAGGTGCTCTTTGTTGTTGTCAATCTGCCTGGATTTACCATCATTTCTCAAGTATAAAACACACTTGAATATAATACGCACTATCAAGTAGAAGTCCATTAATTTAGTATTTTTAATGATTTGACATGCACTAGTTTGCAATTGTGATAATAAGTGGATTACAAAACGGATGGATGGACAATAAATTGTTTTCTTGCGATTACGCCTGCTCCCCAGTCTTGGGTCCACCGCTTGCTACCATCAACTCACCAACCCACCAAAACCTCTTGACGGGTTTGTCAAGTTACGAGTATTATAACTTGACAAACAAGTTACAAACAAGTATAAGTATTGATTTTGAACTGCTCCAGATGTATCTTCGTGGCAAGGTTGTGAGTGCTCTTCTTTTTATTTTTTTTGTGTGTATAGTTCGTGATGGCTTGTGTAATTGTGATGTCAGAGTAAGTCCCCACTAAAGGTCCAGGTATAAAATGCATGGCCAGCCACTGACAGGAACCATATTCGCAAAGCTAAGCAGTAGCGTCATTTTGAGCGAACACAACAAGAGGAAGCTATTGCTAAATTTTGAACCCTTTCTTTGAACTATCGTCGTTAAACTTGACAACATACTGTGTATGTGGTGCCTTAAAAACAAATACACCAACGCATTGCTTTAAAAATCACCTTAGTGTCGGGACCACTGTACCTTTTGATTATGATTTGATTTCCAAGATTGTTTGACTAACTACGGATACTAGTGTGAAAATAATGCTTGTGTTATTCCTTGGCTTTAGGTTGTGCTTGGGAAGAGTGAGCCTGGTGGAACATAAGACAGGTCTCACTCTGCCCGTCTTCTTCCGCGCCCGCTTCAGTGGCCGCCTTTACATGAAGGACCATCTGGGCCCGGTGGTGAGCAACATGGCCGTGAGCGGCAGGGTCAGCGCCGCAACAGGTGACCTCATGCTTGGAGATGAACTGGGACTACACAAGTCAAACAAGCTTCCCTGAAAGCGCATCTTACGGGAGTCCTGCCTCAGAGTCTCCCAGATGGAACTGACCTCCTGCTGGCAGTCGGACAGCGCCGTCAGGGCACACGTGTGGAAAGCTTCCCAGTGGCTGCGGCAAAGAAAGCATCATCAGATCAGCGCTGCCAATCATCTGCCATATTACATAAGCCAGAATTCATCTTTGCTGGCTGTCGGAGATTCATTTACGTGCCAACAATCCATCACTGCGATGGATGCGGTGGCTCACAGTAAGTCAAACTGAGCTTTAACTACCATGGCAACCGCTTCAGAGATATCGCAGATGATATTGCAAGTGGAAATTCTTCAACAGAAGGCTCGGGTGTAGATTGTTGTCTATGCCGGGGTGGTGAAGTGCAATAACAATGACAAAACAGTCACCGGAATTTCATTACCACTGCAGCAGAGTCATAAATTATTTAGATGAGTGGCTCAGTGTCTCAGCACCATTCATATCTGTCTCCTTCCTCTCGGATGATGGACTGTGCTCTTTGCTTTTGTCACGAGATGCAACGCTTTCCCTGCATACGCATTATTTTGCTCAGTCATGAATCATACTCATGGAAATGAAATGTACGATTGCACTATCTAATGAGATCCAGCACTGGAGTTGTATTAAGAATTCTCCCTTTCCAAACAAATAATTCTCAGTTTATAAAGCTTGTCATTTAAAAATGGTCTTTATAAGAGTGTTTGTAGTTCACAGTCGACTGCATTGGATAATTTGCCCATACATTGCAGCTAAATAAATAAATAAAGGGGGGGGGGACTGTAACAATAATACTGGATTTCGGAATGACGCTGTGCAGTTCTACATCTCGTTCGATTAGAAATTATATTCACAATTTCTCCATTCTCATTTCAGAAATGTGCAGTTCATGTTGTGTCACCTGCACACAGCCGCCACTCCGCTCTCACTGGTCACGTTTTCCTGATAGTTGTCCATGCTCTCCCCCAGCTCCAGGACACAGTCCGAGAAGTCCTTGTAAACATTCTCGCAATTCACATCTGATGAATCTACCACCACGGAGATGGACAGGAACACTGAAATGCAGATGCACCTTGTTACTCAATCAAATGAGGTAAATAAAGCAATAATTGCAGTACAGTGGAATATTTTGGCGGTTGTACAATTCTGACTTTGACCAAAAATCAACCTGCTATCCAGTCACAGACAAAGCAAACACAGATTGTTACTTTTTGTGAGGGTGGAAGGGAAAGCAAAGAGGAAAAGTCTCCACCATTGCATTGCTGCGGGTTATGTGGCAGTGGCTGCCTTCACTTGCCGGACAATTCACAAATTCTCTCAGTGCATTGACTTCTCAGCTTCTTTACAGTTCGGTGTTTGATACAGCGGCTCATCCTGATGTGACGTTTCATCACTGATGCCGGTGAAGCTCCTCTCTCCCATTGGTGATTTCATACGCATGGTGGTATGTACAACTCCCTAATGGTGGCCTGCATCACATCCTCAAGGCTTTAATACCAATTTTTTTTTTTTTTCGTGATGGCTTGTGTAATTGTGATGTCAGAGTAAGTCCCCACTAAAGGTCCAGGTATAAAATGCATGGCCAGCCACTGACAGGAACCATATTCGCAAAGCTAAGCAGTAGCGTCATTTTGAGCGAACACAACAAGAGGAAGCTATTGCTAAATTTTGAACCCTTTCTTTGAACTATCGTCGTTAAACTTGACAACATACTGTGTATGTGGTGCCTTAAAAACAAATACACCAACGCATTGCTTTAAAAATCACCTTAGTGTCGGGACCACTGTACCTTTTGATTATGATTTGATTTCCAAGATTGTTTGACTAACTACGGATACTAGTGTGAAAATAATGCTTGTGTTATTCCTTGGCTTTAGGTTGTGCTTGGGAAGAGTGAGCCTGGTGGAACATAAGACAGGTCTCACTCTGCCCGTCTTCTTCCGCGCCCGCTTCAGTGGCCGCCTTTACATGAAGGACCATCTGGGCCCGGTGGTGAGCAACATGGCCGTGAGCGGCAGGGTCAGCGCCGCAACAGGTGACCTCATGCTTGGAGATGAACTGGGACTACACAAGTCAAACAAGCTTCCCTGAAAGCGCATCTTACGGGAGTCCTGCCTCAGAGTCTCCCAGATGGAACTGACCTCCTGCTGGCAGTCGGACAGCGCCGTCAGGGCACACGTGTGGAAAGCTTCCCAGTGGCTGCGGCAAAGAAAGCATCATCAGATCAGCGCTGCCAATCATCTGCCATATTACATAAGCCAGAATTCATCTTTGCTGGCTGTCGGAGATTCATTTACGTGCCAACAATCCATCACTGCGATGGATGCGGTGGCTCACAGTAAGTCAAACTGAGCTTTAACTACCATGGCAACCGCTTCAGAGATATCGCAGATGATATTGCAAGTGGAAATTCTTCAACAGAAGGCTCGGGTGTAGATTGTTGTCTATGCCGGGGTGGTGAAGTGCAATAACAATGACAAAACAGTCACCGGAATTTCATTACCACTGCAGCAGAGTCATAAATTATTTAGATGAGTGGCTCAGTGTCTCAGCACCATTCATATCTGTCTCCTTCCTCTCGGATGATGGACTGTGCTCTTTGCTTTTGTCACGAGATGCAACGCTTTCCCTGCATACGCATTATTTTGCTCAGTCATGAATCATACTCATGGAAATGAAATGTACGATTGCACTATCTAATGAGATCCAGCACTGGAGTTGTATTAAGAATTCTCCCTTTCCAAACAAATAATTCTCAGTTTATAAAGCTTGTCATTTAAAAATGGTCTTTATAAGAGTGTTTGTAGTTCACAGTCGACTGCATTGGATAATTTGCCCATACATTGCAGCTAAATAAATAAATAAAGGGGGGGGGGACTGTAACAATAATACCGGATTTCGGAATGACGCTGTGCAGTTCTACATCTCGTTCGATTAGAAATTATATTCACAATTTCTCCATTCTCATTTCAGAAATGTGCAGTTCATGTTGTGTCACCTGCACACAGCCGCCACTCCGCTCTCACTGGTCACGTTTTCCTGATAGTTGTCCATGCTCTCCCCCAGCTCCAGGACACAGTCCGAGAAGTCCTTGTAAACATTCTCGCAATTCACATCTGATGAATCTACCACCACGGAGATGGACAGGAACACTGAAATGCAGATGCACCTTGTTACTCAATCAAATGAGGTAAATAAAGCAATAATTGCAGTACAGTGGAATATTTTGGCGGTTGTACAATTCTGACTTTGACCAAAAATCAACCTGCTATCCAGTCACAGACAAAGCAAACACAGATTGTTACTTTTTGTGAGGGTGGAAGGGAAAGCAAAGAGGAAAAGTCTCCACCATTGCATTGCTGCGGGTTATGTGGCAGTGGCTGCCTTCACTTGCCGGACAATTCACAAATTCTCTCAGTGCATTGACTTCTCAGCTTCTTTACAGTTCGGTGTTTGATACAGCGGCTCATCCTGATGTGACGTTTCATCACTGATGCCGGTGAAGCTCCTCTCTCCCATTGGTGATTTCATACGCATGGTGGTATGTACAACTCCCTAATGGTGGCCTGCATCACATCCTCAAGGCTTTAATACCAATTTTTTTTTTTTTTACCCTTATGTGAGGCACTAACTGGGTCAATTGCACTTTGCTTCGCTCTGCTTTGCGTTGCTGTGCTCCGCGCTGCTGGGCTGTACGCTGCATGGCTTCACGTTACTGTACTTTGGCGCAACCCCACAGTAAGACCGATGGCTCCCAATGGCCTTTGCACTCACGATTTTGCAGATGAGGGTGAATGGGTGGACTGGATGCTAATAAAGGGCCATATTGAAATGTGCAATTTTGAAGGGGTTGGCTCATTTAATTTTTGCACCATCATATGTTGGTATTTCATCAGTTGAGTTCCGTGGTTAGTTTCAATTTTGTGCATTTGCCTTTATTGTTTTTGGATTTGTCAAAGCCGTTCATTTATTTTCTCCTTTTCAGGGCTGGAAGCTTACGGTGGTGGTCCTGCTGGTGGTGTCACTTTGGTGGTGGTGCTACTTTGGTCCTTTTTAGGGACAATGTTGAGTGTTCAATTAACCCGCCATGCATATTTTTCAAGTGCGGGAGGAAACCGGAGAACCTGAAGAAAACCCACGCAGGCACAGGGAGAACATGCAAACTCCACACAGGAAGGCCGGAGCCAGAATTGAATCCTGCACCACTACTCTGTGAGGCGGACGCGCTAACCAGTATGCCAACGTGCCGCCCTACTTCTTGCTTTCCTTCTTTTGAAATTAGTTTAAACTAGTGTGCTGCCATCTAGTGGTTGACTGGAACCACAGCCAAAGTCAAGAGGAGGCAGAACAAAATAGCTAAATGAACCGTATCAAAACATAATCAGTTGTGCTATTTTAGAGTGTGTGTGTATGTGTGTGTGTGTGTGTGTGTGTGTGTGTGTGTTGGTAAAAACAAAACAAAAACCAGGTAATTTCGTGCATTTTAGGGGTGCAGAGAAAAACAAAAGAATTACCAGATAATTTCGTGCATTTTAGGGGTGTTGGTAAAAACAAAACAATAACCAGATAATTTCGTGCATTTTGGGGGTGCAGAGATTCAATTTAGGGGCTAGGAATGCCCGTGGATTGACCTTATGATTCTTTTCTAATGTGATTCAATCTTTACATGACCCTTCTAAAGATTCCACACATAAAATCATTAAAGCACTTCATTCACCCCCCACCCCCTCCCGAAACTTGCCCTTAAAATGACCTTTTGGAAAAGGGCCAACCAAAAATAAGACATCTCTAACATCCATTGAGCAAAACTTACAGGGACTCTTAACGTTCCTAACAAGCATACCTTTGCAGCCCGTCTGGCTCTTTGCTGTACTCCCGCTGACCACGTCTCAAGTAACATCCCCACCAGGCGCTTACAACATTGATGACACGTTTATGGCTGCGCGTAGGGAGATTAAAAAAAGATAGAGCACGAAGGTAGCTGGAAATGTCTTACCTAGAGCAAAGCAGAGTATCTCCTCGATCTTGGTCGACGTGAACAATCCCATTATCATCCCATTTCAATCCACGCTGAGTGGGCGATCGTGAATCCAATTAGAATAAAGGGTACTCATGAAACTGGACTTAAAAAAAAACGCTGGGCAAATTAGCTGCCCATGTTTTATACGAGTCGTGTATCAGTACAAAAGGGGTGGAAAAAAAATAGACTCGGTGGGTGTGTGCGTGAAGCCCTTCCCTGCTCTGGTCGAGATGACGTTGTCTGCCG